TGGCAAGGAGCCCGATGCAGCTCCAGGGACGATGCAGGGAGGCGCGGGGGCGCCCCGCCCGTCCCGCCGCGCTCCCGAGCGCCTCCGCGGCTCCCCCGACCCCTGCACATCCCGCACCTGCTCGTCCTCGTAGATGATGTTGGCGGGGATCTCCTTGCGGATGATCTTCCCGAAGATGGTGTCCCCGCCGGGACGCGCCGCCTGCGCCTTGCTGATCTCGTCAGCCATGGCGGCAGCTGCCGCGCGGCTCCCGCCAGCCCTCAGCCCCGCCCTCCACCTCGGCCACGCCCCCAAGGCGCTCATTGGGCCAACGCCGGCGCCTGGCCATGCCCGCGCGGCTGATTGGCGGTTTCGCCTGTCATTGTCCCGCTGGTCCCCGCCCACCGCACTGGCGCGCCCTCGCTGACCCGGGTGTCGCGGAGGGATCCGGGGGGAGGAAGCATTGCAGGTCCGCGCAAGGATCAACGCTTCGCAGTGGATTGTGGTAGAAGAAGTAGTGCCATCTCGGGAGAGGCTGTTGTGGGCAGAAGTACTGCTTATCAAATCCAACTCAAATATCTATGTGATTTCCTGGGACAAGCTCCTGAAGACTGCACCAGGCTGGGCTGCCATTAGCTTTTCCATCAAAGTTTGCAGGTGTTAGCTGTTCCTGGAATCAGGATCCTGCAGAAGGGCAGTTTGATGTGCCAGCCTTTCTGCACATAAGCCATGAAAAAAACTAATCAATACAGCCCAGCAATAATTCACAGATGGCAACACAAAGTTACACAGCCATATATATAGTTGTAAATGCTTTTTTTATATATCTCTGACATCAGTCATGAAATAGAAACGAAAAAGCAGGGGGAAAAAACACAAACTTTAAAGAATAAAAACAAAGCTTTATTTTCATGCAGTTTAACAAGATCAAGTACAAGGCTCTGCATCTGGGTTGGCGCCACCCCTGCTATCAGCACAGGCTGGAAGATGGAGAGCAGCCCTGTGAGAAGGATTTGGGGGTGCTGGTGGGTGAGAGGCTGGACATGACCCAGCCATGGGCACTCCCAGCCCAGAAAGCCAAACGTGTCCTGGGCTGCATCCAAAGCCGTGTGGGCAGCAGGGGAAGGAGGGGATTCTGCCCCTCTGCTCTGCTCTGGTGAGAGCCCAGCTGGAACCCTGCATCCAGCTCTGGGGTCCCTGCACAGGAAGGAGTGGAACTGCTAGGGTGAGTCCAGAGGAGGAACACCAAGACGATCAGAGTGACAGAGCACCTTTTCTATGAGGACAGGCTAAGAGAATTGGAATTGTTCACCCTTGCAAAGAAAAGACTTCAAAATGACCTAATTGAAGCCTTGCAGTACCTGAAGGGAGCCTTCAAGAAAGATGGAGAGGGACTTTTTACAGAGGCATGTAGTGACAGGACAAGGAGGAATGGCTTTAAACTGCAAGACTGGAGGTTTAAATTGATTGTGAGGAAGAAATTCTTTACTGTGAGCATGGTGAGGCACTAGAACAGGCTGCCCAGAGAAGTTGTGCATGCCCAATCCCTGGAAGCGTTCAAGGCCAGCCTGGATGAAGCTCTGAGCAGCCTAGTCTAGTGAGAGGTGTCCCTTCCCATCATAAGTGCATTGAAACTAGATGACCTTCAATGTCCCTTCCAACCCAGACCATTCCGGATTCTATGATTTTCTAAACTTCACAAATACAATAGAATTATTTCCATGAAGATTTGTCTAGGAGAATATTAATATAGACATTTATATATATTTGTCTCTAGACAAGAATGTTACAGGAAAGCATTTTGGAGAGAGGTGGGGAATAAATACTGCTAAGTGGCTTAAACCTAATATGGTTCCACAGCTGATCACCTTAACATGTTACAAAAAGAGCAGAATTTATCATATATTTCTGGTAGTAACTCTGAAATACTTTATCATTAAATACCCTGGGAAAAAAAAAGTCTGATAAAGCACATTAAACAATGAAATTTTATTCTCTTCCTTAGATGATGGTTATGGATTTAGATATTTTGACGTATGTATGTCCTACAGATGGTATTGGAGCTTCATGACAATTAAAAGAAGTGCTCCAGGAAGAAATTTCTTTGAATTACATTATTGCCTAACCATGGTTATTCAGCAAATATATGATTAATTTGAGCCATCGCTGCTGTGGGGTTAGTCTAGAAAGCATATTTTTATAAGAGAAGACATAAAGAGACACGCTTAGAAGTTTCTCTGAAAAAGCAAAAACTTTTTTTTTCATATAGTTTACTTCAGCATATATTTTTGTCTCACCATAAACACTGAAACAGCAGTGTAAACAGCAACTTTTACATTATTTTGAATAAAGCAATGAATGAATTAGACCCTCTTTTCATTGATTCACATCTGCAATAATTATTCTTGGAAATAAATCATGAATAAACTACTTCTGCTAGCAGATCAAGTTTCTTTATGAGTTATATAGTAAAAAGAGTATTTAATAGATGCTTACAAGTAAGTATTAACTAATAATAAAAATATTCAAATTAATGAATAATAGTTTAGTGTTCCCATATTTTAATTAGTTTACAATGTAATTGCAGTTAAACGATCAAATAGGCTGTATTGAAGCTAGACGTCTAGTGAACAGTAAAGCTGATTACACAGAAAATCTTTATGCTGCCTTTAGCTAATGCTGAATAATGTGTTAGTGAACTGTAAGCTTGTTTGTTTTTCAAGAGAACGGCAATTCAGTTTTATAGATGTACCAGGCGTGGCCATGAGGAGGTCCTTGGTCAGGGTGTGGGTAAGGCAAGCCAGGGCTGTGGGGAACTTGATGTGAGCAGCCAAGAAAGTGACCTTGACTAGAGAGGGGAAATGACTGAACAGAAAAAAATGCCTGTTGGATAACAACCAGCAGAAAAAAAGCCTGCCACCTTGGCAGCTGTGATCCTGGGAATAAAAAGTGTCCTTGAAAAGTGCAGCTGGCCTCTTCTAAGTACTGCTGAGTACCTAGAAACCGGAGAGGTCCTGAGATAATACAGGTAAGCACAGAAACAAGGAACTGTAACCACAACTTTTCTTCTGAAGTGGTGAAAAAATAGACTGTGAAGGAAGAAGGCACCCCAGATAAGGAAGGATTCTAAACTGTCATTGGCCATTCTAACTGCAATAGCAAGGAAACAATCTGGCAAAATAAAAGCTGATTTGAAGCAGCAGCAAAAATCACCATTTATTCTAGGTATCGTACAGAAACTGATGGTTGTCCAGTTATGCATTTGAAACAATTCTAGATTTGTTCAGAAGAAGAAGTAGTAGGAAGTAGGTCTTTGTGCTACCCTGGGCAGTGATCTGCAGACGCTGGCAGGGGGTGCTGGACAGGGAGCAGCTCCTTGTCCCCACTGTGGCTACCCTCGGAGGGCAGGGGTCCCGGGACCACTGACAGCTCCAATGGACTGAGGAGCCTTGGGCAGCACTGCCTGCTGCCTCCTGCAGGCAGTGGCAGCCTCCTGCCAGACCTTGGCATACCGAGGACTGGCACTGTTTGGGTAGCCAAGAAGGCCAATAGAACCCTGGAAGATTAGGAAGAGCATTGCCTGCAGGCTGAGGGAGGTGATCCTGCCCCTGTGCTCAGCCCTGGTGAGGCACATCTGGAGTGCTGTGTCCAGTTCTGGGCTCCTCAGGACAAGAGACAGGGAGCTCCTGGTGTGGGTCCAGCACAGGGCAGTGAAGATGGGACCAGAGCATCTCTCTTTCGAGAAAAGGCTGAGGGAACTGGGCCTGATCAACTTCGAGATGACTTCGAGAACCTGAAGGAAAGGTGTCAGAGGATGGAGCTAGGCTGTTCACAGTGGTGCCCAGCAATAGGACAAGAGGCAGTGGGCAGGAACCGATGCACAGAAAGTTTCTGTGAACACGAGGAAGAACTTTACTGTGTGGGTGAGCAGGCACAGAAGAAGATTGTGCAGAGAAGTTATGGAATGTTCCTCGAGGATAGAACCGTCTGGACACACAATCGTGTGCCAACTGCTCTGGGATGTCTCTGCCTGAACAAGGACGCTGGACCAGATGAGCCACTGTGGCCCGTCACAGGCGGAGCTGGAAGTCTCTCCTGTGAGTCTGTGAAGGCCGCGCTGCGGCGGCAGCGGGGCCGGGGCACAAAGGCTGCTCGGAACCGCGGTGGCGGCGGGCGGCGCCCGGGGGACAGCATTGGCGGCCGCACCAGAAGCAGCGCGGCGCGGGAGGGCGCGTCTTGTCCTGGATCGTCACTTCCGGCGCGGCACTTCCGCTGGTGGGACTGTGCGGGCGGCGGGCGCCATGGGGAGCCGCGGGCAGGCGAGTGATACACACACATACTATCCGTGCTGGGAGGTTGGAGCTTTCTAGTTTTTGTAGAGCTGAAAGGCATAGACTTTCAGGACAAGAAGGACAAAAAACTAGATAACAGAAAGTAGCGGTTTGCACGCAAAGGCCATTGCGGGAAAAGGAAGTGAGATGTGATAAGCAGAGGTTAAAACACATCAAAAGCATGTTTCGTGAGAGTAAGATAGAGAAAAACAAGGACCTAGGAATTAATAACCCCTTGCATTACCACGGTATAATGTCGTGTCGGTACCTCTTTCGGAAGTGTCGTGAAGCCTAGTTTTGGGAGTACAGTCGACAGGTATTTGCGGAGCTCTCTGTTAAAGCAGGTGGCTGTAGAGGTCAGAGGTGTCTGCATTAATAAATCTTGATCAAAACTTTCTAATACATTTACTCTGTGGCTAGTGTGGTGAAAACTTTCCAGGAGGAGTTTGTTGAGATTGAACCAGAGAATATCCTGCGTTGGAAGGAAGCCACAAAAATGATGGAGTTCAGCTCCTGGTCCTGCTCGGGACCATTTCCAGGAGTGACACCGTGTGCCTGAGAGAGTTGTGAAAAAGCTTCCTGAACTCTGTCAGGCTGGTGCAGTGACCACTGGGGAGCCTGTTCCAGTACCCAATCACTCTCTGGGGGAAGAACCTTCTCCTGATACCCTAAACCTCCCCTGAGACAACTTCGGACCGGTCCCTTGGGTTCTGTCACTGGGCACCAGAGAGAAGAGATTGGTGCCTGTACCTCCTTCTCCTCTCGTGAGGAAGCTGTAGACTGCTAGAAGGGTAGAAAGATGCCTCAAAATGGCTCATCGGATTGTTCAAAATAACCATAAAAAACTTAAAGTTTTACTGTAGGTGTTTTCAGCATAAAACTACTTGTAATATTAATTTGCTATTTGCAGAGATGGCAAAAATATTATGGGATAGAAAAGATTTAGGATATTAAAATGTTTGCAAAGCAAAAAGTTTATTTGTTGTGGTTTAATTCTGAGAGTTTACTTTCCACAGATTCACCCATCTAGAGAATGGTGCAGTTAAAGGCAACAGGACTCTGTTCATTTGCTGGGTTTTTTTTCTGAGTCACAGCCCTGTGTTTTCTCTATGTCCTTCTAAAAGAATATTTGGAATACTAATTGTGAGAAAACGATTTGAGATTATTTTGAAGTATCTGGAATTGTGCCCTCTAGAGGGGCCAAAGCACAATAGTAAGTACTAGAAGAAGCTTCAAAAAGGCATATTGTTATCAAAATTATGTTTTTCTGGTGCTTGTCAGGAATTCTTTCAGTCTGGGCAAATACCAGAAAAGTCTCATAAGGATTTGAGGATTTCTGTATTCATTACAGTATGTATGAATGGTCGTGACTGTGAGCTGTGGTTCTCGGGGTTTGCTTTTCATACATATTCAGTTGTGTCTTCTCTACATTGTAAATCCTCACTTTTTAAGTGCTTTCTTTTACTGAAGTTTTCATTTGCTGACCTGGCAGTTGTATTTAAGGGAAGGACTTTGCATTGGTTTTGCTATGCCACTTGTAGAAGACTTCTTAAGCGAGAACACTGCAACCATTTATTTTTCTATCTTTTTCAATAGCTGGAGAATATCCACTGATGCAACCTTGATAATGGCTTCAAGTAACTTTTAGAGTTATTCCAGTTCTGTAGGGTTTATTTGACATTGGTACAATAAATAGTGCTTATGTCCATGTATTTTCAGGATTATATTCCCATCATGCTAAATAATTATTTAGGGTTGTGGTGCTAGCATCTTAGGTTAATTTGAAATATCCAGACCTGTCTTAGATTTTGATGACATCACATCTGCTTTGGCTGCAAGTGTTTTAATCAGGAATTTAAGTAAAGCCTCTTAGATACTGATTCCATATCAAATTCTGTACTAAATGGAAAGAACATGAAATTTCAACCAAAACACTTTCAATTGTAGCATATTCATTTAAACTAACAATCCTGCTAGCAAATAAGTTAATTATATCAATGTTGTATTAGCAGGTTTTGAAGCTTTTCAAGTTGTTACACAGAACACGGCAAGAAGTTTTTAAAAATGATACCAGAGCCCTTGAAGGTGAGATGCTTGTTTTGTGTAGTGTGTACTTACCTATATTTTGTGGAACTTTCTTCATGGAATACAGAGAAAGAGAATTTTTAACATAATCTTGCTTTACTCCCATAATTTTCAAGTAATAATTGAGAAAACTTGTGTGTCCATAACCAGATATCCTTTCATTTGAAACAAAAAAATGGTCCTTAGATTGAAGCACTCAACACATATTTTGGAAGGGAAACATCTCTTTTTTAAATGTTCCTGATCTTCCTGGGAGATATTTTTCTTTCGTTTTTTTACTTCTCTTCAGTCCAGTCAGAGTATGTTTAGCTGTACTTATTATTTCTCTATGTATGATTTTCCCTCAAGGGATAAAATCCTGCTTTTTTAGTACCTTGTGTATGCAATACAGAATGCTAAATTTGGAATCTTATTTTATTTGTATACCAGTCAACTTAAAACATGACATCATGTGAATTACATGGAAATCATACATTGAAATACTTTGATCAGAGTGCCCCAGAAACGTGCCATAAAGGACTTAAGATTCTTAACTTTGGGGCAGTGACAAATTAAAAATACAGTTTTTGTTCACACTTTATTTTTTTGTTTACTTTATCTAGCTGCAAGACAAAAGATAAATGAAGAATTCAGAAACAACCGAGATGAGACATCTGAAGAGAAGATTAATGAGGTATTTTCTTGCTTTCTGTTGTTCAGGGGTTTTTTCCACTTCATGGAAGAATATTCAGAAATTAGTTTTTTACCTAAAGGATCTCTAAACCACTGTAAACACATTGAAACATCATGAAAGCCACGTTGGTTCAGAAAGACTTCTATGTGGATCTTTGTTTATAAATATATAGATATCTCCAATGGCATTTATACTGTGTCATAGAATTTTGTACATACAAAAACACGGAAGTAGAAAGTGTGTTCTGATAGTTCAACTTGATTATTTTGAAGTTTATAATAAAATTAGAGGATAAAATGTGTAAAGTTGCAATTTTCATGTAAATATTTTACGCTTTTCTCATAATATCTATCAGATATCAGTGTCTACCTGATCATTGTTGTGTAGGCAAACTGAAACAAACAGAAAAATTAAACAATCTGTTCAGTTACTAACAGATTACATAGGAGTCAGCATCTTTGTGGAAGGCAAAAAACAGCAAAATTATTATGATTTATTATATACAATATAGTAAAGTTGTAGTATATATTAATTATACTGCAGGGAATTTTTTTCTTCTCTCCTCACCATGCATTAAAAGTAGCTCACTAAGTTAGTTATCTTTGCTCAATTGTCACCTTAACACTTTTTGCTGAGTCATTTTTTTCTGAAAGTTACTGTGAACTGAAATAGAACTCCTATATTTTAGATAATTTTAGTTGTTAACATCCATACAGAGTGAACAACTTAGTCCTTGTCGTTCAGCCTTTTATCAGACTGTATTTACATTGTCACTGGGCACTGGTTGGAAGAAAGTGCCTCCATCTGTCCTTTGAAGAAATAAAATGTAAACCTTTTCCTCATACCAGCCACTAAACAGTAATGTAAATAGTTCTGACCTTTTAGTTAGGAATTCCTGAATTTCAGCTTGTTATCAGCTTTCTGTAATGGTACTTAGTGTTTGTGTTACCACTGTCTGATCAGCTAAATTATGTGTTTGGGGTTGTTTTTTTTAATAGATGTACAGGAAAAATATTTGCTGCAATTCTGAAATCCGTGTTTGTTTTGTAGGCAACCTACAAAATACACATACGAGACTTTTTAATATGGGTTAGTTGATACTTGATTAACTCTGACAGTGAAAGATATGAGGGCAATAAAGGCTTCCATCCCAGCTACACACTCCTTAGAACATCACAGAAACTGTCATATTTATAACTTGTACGCACTGAATAGACTTGGTTGCAGAGAAATGAATCAAGTTTTATTCAGGACTTTAGAAAGTTCAGGCGCTTGCTTGCATTAACGTGGTGTTTTGGACCGCAACTGAAAAACAGAATACTCACCAGCCAGGATAGTAAGCTACAGTGTATTCTAATATGACAACAAGTATTTGTATCTGTATGTACTTGTACACCTCAAGCTTGAAGTGACATGAGGAGATCAAGGTAACTGTGTTACAGTATGAGAATGAGAAATGTAGCTGAATCTAGTGCACCAGTTTTAGTTCAGATTAGGAGTGCACTTGTGAAGTTACTTTGGTTATTTCCACTTCCTGTGACTTGTCTTGTTTTGTTAGGTGTCAGAGCAACAAGCAGAATTCCCTTAAGGTCAATCTGAAGGGGAAGCTGTGCTTCAGGAGCATGCAGCCTGGCTGCTAATGGACTTTCTGCAGGGGCAGCTGGAGGGTAGCTGCTCCAAGCCCTCAAAAGGGAAGAGCACGAGAAGTGCAGTGTTGATGTCAAGTGTCTGAGCTCTAGCCTTTGCAAGGATCCATTTCTGTTGGTACTCACCACTTCCTAGTGTGAGCATGTCTCCTGAAATATCTGACTTGAGCAATTGCATTTATTTCTGATACAGGTATCATGCAAACAAGTGTTAGACATCTCTTAACAGCTCAGCAAAGCTAGCAAGGCTGTTTCAGTTTATCCTCTTAGTGAGAGAAGGAATTCTAGGCCTTTTGCCGAATGCTAATACCTCAGGTAGTCTTTAGGTAGTGCCTTGCTCCTGCATAGTTCTTCTGTGAGACCTCAGCATTTCACCTTATTCATTTGCAGTTTTAATTGGGTACGTAGATGTATGTAGTAGTGTATATTACTGAGCCAGTTTCCCTCACTATGTGCTCCATGTCAAGGTCACATATATATCAATCTGTAAGTTATTCCAGGATTCCCAAGGCAAAAGCAATTTATACATGGTAGATAAGTAACTGTGTAGTACAACCAAATGACTTTATTATTTGCATAGTTATCTAGTGTGAAAAATATCTTCAGAAACAGTCACATATAATTTAAATTACTCTGTTGTTCCTCTCTTCTTATTCCTTTTACTAGCTTCTGAAAATAGCTTCAGATGTTGAAGTGATTCTCAGAACTTCTGTTATTCAGGCGGTTCACACAGATTCTGACAAAATAGGTGAGTAAACTTGCATTCTAAAAAGATACTTAAACATGTTATAGTTTAGTAAATAAATATGGAATATGAAAATAAGGAAAGGAATAGCGAGGCAAATAGTCTATTACTCTTCGTCGATATTCTTACTGTAAGCTATTCATTAATGTCACTACCTAGGACAGGTGGAAGTTTCAAAGGTACAAAGTTTCTGTAGGTGCTTGCTCTACAGGATAGGGAGGAGCTGCCTGAGGAGCATTAGCAAATGCGGTATGTACAGTGGCCATAGAATAGCTTTTTCTTTGTGGATTGAGTGTTCATTTCCAAAATTTTTTTCCAACAATTTCAGTTTCAGATTATGCTGTGTAAGATTTGTGACAGAGTGATTACCTCAATGCAAAGTATCCAATTCTGATATTCCTAATTCCTGGTTTAGAAGTTCTTTTATCTTGCAGTCAAAAAGAAAAGTAGTAGGTAGGCTCAGCATACAATTGTGTGGTAGAGAATACAGGAAATCTTCATTTGTGTACATTGTTTCCTTTTATTTCTGTTTAGTGATGACTGTAAAGTTTTGTACCAATTTTCAGTTTTAGGTTTGGTAAAACATTTAACTTTAAAACAGCAATTATGATCGTGGCCAAAGATAAGTCTGGACTGGTGTCAAGTCTTCCACAGTGATTCCAGGCAGATAACAGTTGAAGAATAGGAACAAAGTGAATTTACACCTCTTTCAGCTGTTCACACCTGGCAGCACTTCCTGAGTCAGAGATGTTTTCTGGTTTAATTATCTTCAATGGGCTTCTCTTCAATTACTTTTCATTTTCACCAAGTTGTTAATGAATTTTTAAGTCCTTTATTTCCTCCTTTTTCTTCACTTCCCCAGTGAAGTAGCTCTCAGAAACAACAGGTGAATGTCTGTGATTATTCTTACTATTCACTGCACACTGTGAGCAAGGAGGCATTTATACACAACAATGGCACAATAATCTCTTTCATTTTCAACTGGATTCCTGCTAATAGTCACTGTTAATTCTAAATTTAATTTTTTTGCTGCTAAGCATACATTTTATGTATTTATTTTTATAAAATTATACTCATTAAACTCATCTGAGGGGTCATAATCAATTCTGAACTTACCACTTCCTTTGGTTTTCTTGACCCTGTGTGCATTCCATGTCTCTAGGTGTAATTTTGCCCTCAATTTACTCAGTCAAGTTGTAAACATGTCTTGCTGTTTTTCACAGTAAGATATTTTCTTAATGGAATTGTTCAGGATGGTATCATTAAAAACCTTTTCTTCAGAGTTTACTTACAAATATGTTGAACAGTGACATGTCAACAAAGATACCTGTAGAACTCCATGTTTGACATCACCCAGTGGATGACCTGATCATTTATTGTTCATGTTTTAAAGTTTAACCAGTGGCTTATCTGTGCAAGACTTCTGTCATAATAAGGCTGTTGTTTTATAGAAGCATTGGCTGAGCGACTTCAGGGAATCCAAACACGTTGTGGTAACCTCTGAAGCGCCATTCAGAGAACTCCAGCAGGAACTGTAAGGCAGAACTTCCTTTGGAAAAAGCACATGGATTCATGTTCAAATACTAGCTTGTATTTTAATCCTGTGCAAGTGTGTAGGGATGGGGTTAGGACAGCCAGGTGTATCAGCAACAGAAGGAGGAGGAGAGCAGACGTGGGCCTGCAGCTGAATAGCAGAGGAGATTCAATAACAAAGGACACAGGATAGTCAGTTCTGTGACAATATAGTGGCAGTAATTTTCACTGGATGCTTTCTCTTCCTGTTGGCCTTTAAAATAGGTGAGACAAGATAAATATTATAGATTAGATTTGAAGACTTGGGCAGGAAAGCTAAGTCAAATCCAGTATTCATTTCTGAAACTGCTGAAGTAAGCATGATATGACTCAGACTTGAAAAAAATTCATCCCCCTGCTAAAAGTGACTGCAAAACTTTGTAATTATTTATAGCTTCTTAATATCAAAATTTTCAATGCTTATAAAAGGAGACAGGAAAACATTGTTGTGAGTAGCTGAAAGTAAAATCTTAGTATGATTTTGTCTTAGATAGATATCATGATGCTACTTTTACACTTATCAGAAGTTCAGATCCTCATTTTAGTAACCAGATATTTTGTTTGTAAATGTAAAAACACCTTTAAAATTTGAAATAGTGTTTTCCATAAGGTTATAGTCTTACTGGGTTTTTTTTTTCTATTTCAGTACTCATACCCAGGAAAGATCTGCTACAGGACAACACTCCTTACTTAGATAAACCAACAAAAAAGCAAGAATCCTGAGGAAATATTATTACCAGGAAAACAGAGACTGAAATCAACTTACTGATTTTATTGCATGCTGGGATATCATCATGCATTTGTTCTGTGGAAGATAGTAATGCTTTCAGAGAACTTAGAAGTACACTGCTGAATTGTGTTACTTCAGCCAGGAATGTTTCTGACTATGACAGCTATCAGACAGAGACTTTTTTTCCCAGCAATCCAGAATTTTTCAAAGTTATATAAAAATTAAATTGAGTACTTGATACTAATAATATTTATTTTCAAGTTTATTGTCAATCATAAGCTTCTTTGAAGTGATGAAAAATCACCTTATGGCATTTAAAGTTAAATTTATGCTTTGCACCGAAAGCACGATTTCTGAAGTTGTCATCAATTGTACAGTAGTATACTGTGATGCTTGAGACAGTTCTTAAAAGTTTATCTGAATAAATTATTGGTGTTTTACAGATGGGAGAGCATGTGTAGCGTTTTTCTTCTACACACTCCGGAATGAGTAAGAATGTTGGGGTTTGAGTTCTCAGATAACAGCACAAGAGAACCCAGCCACAACATAACCTAAGGATGTTGGTTTAGATCATATGATTTATGAATTTATGGTTTGTGTTTTAACCTGTAGTCATTGAGTAACGAAGGCATTTTCCAAAGAAAAGAGCCTTGCTGTTTAGTTGCAAGTGACCTTTCCTAGAGTGAATTGATGAAAAGTTTGATTAGTAAGCCCTAATAATTTGCATTTTTTTTAAGGATACTTCCTTGGTTCTTGTGGAATTCGTCACAATGATCTGTTAAATTCCATTCTCATTGGAAGGACCTACAACTGCAGTGATACATAGAACTTTTCCTTCGTGAAATTGATAACAGGCACCAGTCTAGGATCTAAGTACCTCACACAGGAGTCAGGTAGTCTGATAATACGTCTCACCTCATGAGTCCCACTGTATCTGTTTATTTTCAGTCTCCAAGATGTCAGAATTGCATATCTATGTGTGTATGGATTTGGCTTGACTGGCTGAGTAAACCAGAAAACGAATGTCTCCATCTCTTTTTCTTATGAAGTATGTCAGTGTGACAACTACTCCTTTCTTTAAAACTGTTTCCTTTGGCTTCAATGGTCAGGGCAGCCAGCAGCAAATACAGCTGTCAGTAACCCTCTTTGAATTGCACTGATACTCCCGGCTCTGTAGCTAAAAGGCAGCAGGCACACAATGGGAGATAGAATGAAATTATTGCAGTTCTTGGCATTTGTTATCTTCTAGTGGCTCCACTACAGAACAAATGTCTCCATCTGTAGGGAATGTCCTGTTCAAGGCCTCCAGTATTGTTTACTTCCTAAGCACAAGCTATGTCTGGCTTCCCATCCTTGTGCAGCCTGCTTACATGGAATTTTTTTTCCCATAAGGGGTAAAAGAGAGTCATATGCCAGAAACAGAAAACACAAGGTAGTGGCAACTGTAAAGAGAAAGCAGAACATTGCCTCAGGTGAAATGACTAACTTTTAAGCAGAAGTAATTAAACAGGGGTCTGGCAAGACTCGGAAATTATATAACCATTAAGGTGTATGTCTCATGGCATGTTGGAATTGGTCTGAATTCACCTTTCATAGCCACTGCTTTAGGCTGTGGGTGTAGCATTAGAGATTTCATCCTTCAGATTGATTTTATAGAACTTAGGCCTGTTTAGATTTCACTCTTTTACTACTGATGTAAAACAGTATTGCCTGTTACCATGCCAAATATGTAGTAAAACACTTTGGTGATGTCAGTGGTAGATGGTGGTCTTCTATATGCTGCTTGAGGAAGCCACAAGCGGAGAAATTTTTCATGTGACTATTGCTTTGGTATTGCTCTGCTGTCGTGTGTTTCAGGGTTTTATTTTAGTAAGAATACATCAGCAGAAATATAGTAGGGAAGTGTCAACTAACAGGATCAGGCTTTCAATTTAATGGTATTTTTGTCCTTCATCTTACATATATCTTGAATACTCATAATAAAAATATAGAATGAATCATTTGAATAATATACACAGTTGGTGAAAATAAAGTACATTGTAAAAATAGTTGGTACAGTTTATTCGTCTCCAGAATGATTGTTCTTGCACTCCTCTGCAGTGTCTTTATGGTGTGTGCATTAACATTCCATGTTCTTGCTGTCTTTGTGCATTCCTGGGCAGCAAAGACACACCAAATTCTGCAGTGTTGAGATGAAGAAAATCAAGATGATACAAAAAAGGCTATTGACATAAGAGGCTTGCCGGCTATTCCTTGCTCTTATTCAATGTGATCTTAAATAAGAACCAGGGGGTATCTAAACCAGGATATATGGCAATCCAAATAAGTTATTGAGCCTAAAAATATCTCAGACTTGGTTGCTCTCCGGGCCCAGTAGGTGTTTGTTTTCTTAAAATTTAACTTTTCAGTCTTGAAAGAATCTCACCAACCTGCTTAATGAGTAGCTGCTTATTAAGGTAATTAAAGGCTTTTTTGTGCTACTTGGTCATAGTGACTATTCCTTTTCCCTTTATTTCATGCTTACCTGTTTGCATTCCAGAACCCAGCCATCACCCTAGTTTCCATTTCCCTTTTTAATTTCACTCTGTGTGTGAATCTGTTCTTGATACTGCTGGGTTTGTGCTCATATATGTATTTTTCTATTATTATTGAATACAAATAATAATAAATAAAAAGACGGGAACTATTGTTGCAATCTCTCTTTGCAAAGTTTGAAGTCTTAGCTGAGACTTCAAGTTTTTACAGGGATTTTCACTTAATAGCTTAGGAGGGGAAAAGGGTGATTGTTTACAACAGAAACTGTTGTTGAATAGGCTCACAATAACACAATTCAATCACATTAAAGTTTTTTAGGTTTACTGGAACAGCAGAATTTTGAAAGCAAATGCATGTGCCTTTTAGCATATATATCATCAATCATAAAGATATGCCTTAAAGGTAATAATTCTTTAAACTGTAGTTTAATCATGTCTGTATCCAAAAAAAAGAAACCATAGATGTTTTCTGCAGGCAGATAGGAGGTGCCCTTGGAAAAGCCTCGGTGCTTGTTCAGATCTGCTACAGTTCAGCTGCCACAGGCAAGAGGTCAGTGTGGTCTGACCAGCACACACTGCTGTGCAGGGGTGTGTCCGTGACCTGAACAGACACCAGCAGTACTGCTTAGCAGGAGCTGGTTTCAGGTTTGCAGGCGAGTTTCAGGTCAGCTCAAGGTAGTCACATGTGTACAGAGTTTGGCAGAACAGATGTCACCTCAGTGATTCCATGTAGCAAAATTTTAAGCACTTCAGCTTTTGATATCATCTACTAGAGATGCAGCTGTTAGAGCCTTCTGCTGTGGTCTTCTCTTTCATGAAGGATTGACATCATAAACACTGTAGCTTTACGGAGAGAATTAAATACTTCCAATGAGTATTTCTCATTTAAATACCAGGTTTTGGTCTTTTGCTTTTCCCTCTATTTAACCATTTCAAAATAAATGTTTCCTTCAGTTCTTTTTTTCTGCAAGATCAGGATGGGGATCAAGCATGCTATTAGTATGTTTTCTATAGCCTGATGCTCACAGAACACAGGTGATAGATTTAATCTGTGAATTGATTTTGTTTGTGTGGGTAGAATTTGTGTTGAACTCTTAATGGTTTCAGGTGAAACAAGGTAGTTGTTCTAATTTAGCAGGGGAAAATTAATCCCCTTCTCTGTTCCTGTGCACTTTGGTAAAGGAAGCATTTAGTTGCTAATTTGGCAGGGAGTACTTTTAAACCACAAAGTGATTTTACAAAGACTTGATCTGGAAGTAGCATTAAAAGTTTATAATGGAAAGGTGGTTTGTACCTTCCCTAAGGAGCTGAGTTCTCAGTTTTTGAGGTAACATGAGATCAGCAAACCTGTGGCAATTTCAGTGACATTTAGTCTTTTTCCTAGAGGTCCTGCCAGCTGAAAGACCTAAAGTAGTCTGAGTGCTGCATAAAATTGTCAGCCCTGTTTGTATCACACTGGGCTTGTAAGTACAGCTTCAAGTACTGGCAGTTCTTTAAACTTCCTTTGCAAAAGGAAAAAAAATATTGACAATTGAAAACTAAAAATAAAGGCTGACCAGCTTACAGGAAGAGGTGAGACCTAATACTTCCCAGCTTTAGATAACTCTTTCCAAAACTACTTGCAAAATTCTCTCCTTAAGTCTGAAGTTTGGTAGGCTGTCAAATCTTTGATCTTTAGTTTTATGGGAAAATAATTACTTAAAACAAAGCACAAACAGAACACGAAATGAGTATTAAGGTTGGTATATTTGGTATTAAGGACGTTGAGGTGCTGGAACGTGTCCAGTGTAGGGCAATAAGGCTTGTGAAGGGTCTAGGAAACATATCTTAGGAGGAGTTGCTGAGGTAGCTGGGTTTGTTTTGTCACAAGAAGAGGAGGCCCAAGGGAGATCTCATTGCTCTCTACAGCTCCCTGAAAGGAGGCTGTGCTGAGGTGGGGGTTGGTCACTTCTACTGTGTCTGCAGTGAGAGGATCAGAGGAATTGGCCTTCAGCCGAGTCAGGAGAATGAGATTAGATATTAGAAAAAACAAATTTTCACTGTTAAGGGCATGTCAGGCATTGGGATAGGTTGTCCTGGGAGGTGGTGGAGTCACCATCCCTGGAGGTGATTAAGAGGCATCTGGATTTGGTGCTGGGTAATGTGGTTTAGCAGTTACAGTAGTAGTGCTGGGCTGATGGTTGGATTTAGCAATCTTAGAGGTCTCTTCTAACCTTGATGATTCTATGATTTTACAGTTATAAATGTTTGATATTTTGATAGTTGAAATCCAGTCATCTTTGAGGGTAAAGTATATGTAGCTTCTTTGAGAGTAAATCTGTGGTGTAGGATATCCAAATAACCTAATTCTGTTGAATTACTTTACTAGTGAAGCTTGCATGCCATGACACTTTTTTCTGTCAGCAAGAATAAGTCTGTGGAGAGGAAGAGAGAGGAAGGTTGTGTCTTTGTACTTTGAAAAATAGCATTAAGTTTAAATAATTTGATCTTTTTATAAACAAATATTTCCATTTAGTTAGACCTTCAGTAAACTGGTTTCCTCAAGTTGGAGTAAAAGCACCAACTTTTCAAATTATGCTGTCCTTTTTCTTGCAGTACATCTTTCAGGTTTTCATCTCATCTACATAAAAGGCTATGGCTTGAATCCAGGATTAGTCAGTATTAAATAAACAGCTGGTGGAACAATGGCCTCTTGAACTTGGGGGAGATGCTTTGTGCTAGGCCATAAAAGTGGTACGAGTTCTGCTGTTGCACCTGCTGCTCTGCTCTCTGAGGTCAGGGGCTGTGGGTGAAGGTTGATTCAGCCACCCTGAGCTACCCTTTCCAGCTGAAAGACATCTCCGTAACTGAGCATGGGAATTTTGTCACTCTGCTCACTGTTCACCAGACTGTGGTAGTCAAAACAAGCAGGC